CGAAGGTTTTCTTGAACCTTACCTTGAAGTCGTCAAATGTTTTGATTTGTTCTGATTTTTCCAGAAACCATTTCTTCGCTGTACCTTTCAAATGAACTTTTGCAGTTTCTAGTTGAAATTCTGCTGGCCATTTATGTAATACTGCTGAATTCTCGATATTCTTCAACCAGTCCATTGCTGCTTTTCCCATGCACTCTCCATTGAAATCATCGATACTATGACTGAAATCCGGCATAATATGAAATTGGGTAGGTGCTTGTACGGGTTGCACGCTCTGCTTCTCCAGCAATTTCAAGAATTTATCTTCACTGGCTAAACGATTCTGTTCCATCATGACCATCATATTCATGAATTTATCCATCAAATTGGCATTCGATGTTGACATGTCTGTTTCCTTTTGAGTGTTTCCATCTCCATCTCCGTCCATTTTGCTGCTCCAAATATCAATAACTCAAAATTTATCTAGTACTCCGTGTTCGTCTTCAGTTCACCACTTCTGATTAATGTTGGCTATATTTGGGTTCTTCCAACGGTTTGTCAGTAGGCTAAGCTCCAGATATACGTGAAAGACTAAACTTTAGCACAAATAAACTTTATTATATTGTAAATTACAAAATATATTCCGACGAGATTCAAAATTAAACGATATTGTCACTCTGACAAGAAACAACTCCATCCCTCAAACCCTTAACAACCCTCCTATTCTATACATGGCTATACAGGGTAATATTGGCAAATAAATATATAACACAGATATAATTTTTTATGCACTAAGGTAGTAAATAATATCAGTACTACCCAGGGACCAAGATTATATCCCGAGGCTTCAGCCGAGGTCCCGTGATAATAATATTCTTTACTACTGATGGAAATTGGTTATGGAAATAACAAGTCCGTGTGTTATACTTTCAAACTGTATACTGTTCTCTTCAAATCAAGACCACTCGGAAAGCACGCCGATGTAAGAATCATCATATAGAAAACGTCTCTAGGAAAACTAAGTACATAAGTATATGCTTAGTAAGCAGTCTCTCCTCATCTATACCATACACATTACTTTCATTTATATATTTTAAATAAACAAATTTAATGTGGCCCTCGTGCGCTGCACTGTCGACATTTCTAGATATTCAACGATAATAAATACATTGGTTTATATTACATTTTTGTCTACGTACACAGTGGACTGTGTATATCCAACAACTACCAAGGTGTATATTACATTTTTTTCACCACTAGCAATACATTTCAATCATTTTAATTCTATGAAACTTATATTGGATTTATGCAGCAGTTTTAAGTCATAAGTTTGACGTATTAAGTCATGTCATTCATTGCTTTTCAATATAAACGTTCCGTGAGAAAAGTTAGCCAACATACGACTTACAATTTGGAACTCATGACTAATTTGCTCTGCGCATGAGCCGTGCGCTACCATTTGTAATGTTGGTTTGTTTACATTTGTTTCAATTAAATCAAATCCGAAACAGATATTCGTAACTGCTGAATAATAGAAAAAAAAAACCAATTCACCTCAAACATGTATAAAACTGATGAACAATAGGCAAAATGAGCTGATGACTAGGGGTGCTTTTCTTTTATGACAGTCCTTATTATTATTGCTGCATGAATCACCATTTACCCGTTACGACTTGAAAAATTGTGACTTGAAACCTACGACTTGAAACTGCTGCATAACTTCGGATGACACTTAAAAAGCTAAGGTCCCCGTCTTCTTAACTCACACAAGTCTCTGACTTTCGAGGGTTGCTTTGCAACTAAGCTGGCGGTTAAAAACACTTTTAAACAAACACTTTTATACTGCTGAAATATGGACCTATTGCCACTATGAAAGCACTTCTTTTCAATTCTTATTAAAATCTAGTAGCCATGACCATGACAGCATATGACAAATCGTTATTGATAAATTCCTACTAGATTTGGGTGCCATTCCTGCGAATCTCGGATAAGAACAATGCATTCGGATTAGTAACAACATAGGTCTTTATTGACTAGTGGTTCATAAGATGACGGAAACTACCTTGGTAGTAAAGTAGTATATTACACACCGAGGTGGGAAGAGAATCATTCCTGTCGTGAGATTAGTTAGCTAACCGAGACGCAAAATATGATCTCGAGACAGGAATGATACTTCCTACCGAGGTTTGTATACTATTTTATTCACAACCATCATATTTCGATCAAGATTAATATATGTCTGTTTCGTTCTGAACATATCTGAAATATTACATGAGTGAGGGCGGGAAGTAGAGGTGTGTAATGTGACACTTCCCAACCTTCAATGACGTTTATAATGACAACATTACATAAATGGTTGTAAATAAACACACTTTACGCCTCGAAAAGGAGTGAATAATGGTAGGTTTTATCATAGGCGTATCCAGGGGGGGGGGGGGCTGCCGGGCAGCCCCATCACGGCAAGTCTTAGGAGAATAATTTATAATTTTTACATATTATAACCACTTCTGACGTACGACAATATTCATCACTTCTCTATAACCTATGTAATAAACAAATTAACAGAAGAAGAAGAAAACGGAAGTTTCATCAATTTGGAACAATTGGAAGCTGAATTCAAAATGTGGAAAAGGGAAATGAAAGGGTTTCTTGGTTCATCTTTTTCGGCCATGGAAATGTTAGTAAATTGTCGTAAAGAATTATTCCCAAATATATATATTTTATTGAAAATATTTTGCGTTATTCCGGTTTCAACAGCTACTCCAGAAAGGAGTTATTCAACACTGAGACGGCTAAAGACCTATTTGCACAACAGCACGGGGGAAAATAGATTAACCTCGTTATCCTTATTAAATATAAATTATGGGATTGAAATAGATATAGAAGAAGTACTGGATAAAATGAGTCAAAAAGCTCGTCGTTTAAACATTTGTTTATAATTTGTTCTTTATTTTGACTATTTCTTCACTAATTTTTTGTTTGTTTGATCAAATAGTCTGCATTCCGTAGTTTTCAATATAATTCGTTCATATTATAGATATTTTTTATGGTGAGGCAGCTTATGTACGTTGTTAAACTATTGTTAATTTTGTTTTGACCTATGTATACATTTTTTGTGAAACAATAGAAATAAAGTTTGTTTTAGCGAAGTGTCAAGTGAATCAGTGCTGCACCTTAAATTTCCGCCACACTCCCTTCCTCAGGAGAGAAGGGGTAAACAGGATTCCTCCATCTCACAAACAAAAAGCGAATAAGTGCAAACTCGCACCCCGATGCAAAAATTTTTGCCGTCCCGACGGCCGACAAAAGAGAATACCCGCGTAACGTTTCGGTATGTTTAGGATGAATTACGGACATAAATTGGGCGTGGCTCCGAAAAATGTTTTTAACCTGTGGCGCTTTTCTTTGGTCACCACTTTTTCATAACACAGCCCCCCCCAAACCAAAATCCTGTATACGCCAATGGGTTTTATAGCTAGTGGTGGAAATATTTTTTTTATATTATATTTATTAAAATAATTAATTTTTGAAATATCAATGAAGTTTTTTAATTACCTAACATGCACTTCAAGAAGATATCTAAAACTTCATGAAGTACATGGTCCTAAATCACTTCAGTCTTGCGCCCTGATGAGTTTTTATCATCATTATACAAATATCGCACGGGTCAAAAAAGTCACCAATTCACCGTGCCGGAAAGGGTTAAAACAGCTTAAAGTGTAAATGATTGAACTCCGCATGATTGTTCCTTCCTCTCGGGAATTTGAATAGATTTGACTTGACGTCAGAATTGCTACAGTGTAGAACTTTGAGTGGCAAAAGGGGTCTCACCCAATTCTAACACTTACAATATGAAAACTAATAACGAATTATTGAAAATTGAAAGAATTATTTTAGCTATAGGACAGGACCGCATGATACAATTATACAGGAATTACAGGATGATCAGATTTCTGAATCTTGTTCCAATTAAATGTCAGTAGATAGTTAATCAAAAGTTAAGATGGGGACATGTAAGCCGTTTTGATCGATAATAAATAGTTACCACACAACCTAAAGTGGAAAAATCTCGATTTTGAATACCTTATATCTCTATAATCATTCCCGCTAGACCCCAATTGTGAAGCATTTGTGAAATCAGCTCTTCAGGGAGAATCTGAAAATGCAATAATATACTGGGCATTCCATTTAATAAATAGCAACTTTGATACATTTCGTGTTTTTAGCATACCTTGTACAACATGAAAATATTTTTAAAATGTAGCGCTAATATTAATCAGAAAAAAAACTTTCAAAAATTCATATGCTATAGCCGCAATGCTTCGTGTCGAATACGGTGAATAACCCTCTATTGCTTTATGCATAAGACATCATTCTGTTATTTCCACGATAGTCCGAGTTCGCTTTTTCACAAACAAAACAAATTTCATCATTTCGTGAGTAATGATTATGCGCTCGTTGAATAATGTACTTGTTACATGTTTTTCACATCCTGTATAAAATAGGGATTTCTAGATGTACATTATGACATAACAACCGATGCTCCTTTTATCTTCCAGTTTTCATTCTAATATCCAACTCCAATCACAATCAACGACAAGATAATGACAATTAAGCCATGACTCACCCTATTATGTTTTAATTACGATATGATTATCAATAATTCCACACCATACATTGACATGAAATCTGTATTGGCAGTTTTTCCGAACAATGGCATGTGGGTTTTCGTCTGCCCAAATATGATTATTTCAAATGCTTTAGCCACAATGCTTCGTGTCGAATACCGGGAATAACCCTCTATTGCTTTATGCATAAGACATTATTCTGTTATTTCCACGATAGTCCGAGTTCGGTTTTTCACAAACAAAAAAAATTTCATCATTTCGTGAGTAATGATTATGTGCTCGTTGAATAATGTACTATTTCAGTTTTCATTCTAATATCCAACTCCAATCACAATCAACGACAAGATAATGACAATTAAGCCATGATTCACTCTATTATGTTTTAATTTTCAGGAAAACCCTCAACTCCGTAAAACTGGTAAATGTGAATTCGAAGTTTCAATGATGACAGTGGATTGTGCACCAAAATGTATGATAAACTACCGAGGACATCTGATGAATTTTCGACCTTTGAAACATACATATCATGTACATTCAAAGAGTGAACATTTCAGCGTTGCCCTTTGTGGTTCAAATCAGGATTGTAATCAGAATGGTGTTTCTAGTTGCACTATAACGAATAAAAGTGCAATAATTCCTTTGTCATCCGTTGACAATGAACAATTAACATTCAGAGATGACGAAAACGAGATTAAACTTCATGGAAGCTTCAAGTCAAGTTCGGGTACGTATTATCAATATTAAGATTCTGATCGAGATTCTCATGGACTTGTATGATCAAAACTGTTCTGAAACCAAAAAGGTGGCTATGGCTTTAATCATTAACAGAAGTATCTATAATTTCAAAATGTATTATTTTCCTTCTTATCTTTGAATTTTGTGTTTATTCACGAAGGTATCATATCCAAAGTTGCACTAGCAGCAGCTTAATAAATTAATAATTTTTTTGTGGAACTGATTGGTTTTCCTATATTTCGTGTTGGAATTCATCGTTGGAACTGTATCCACGTTTGACAATAATTCTATCAAATGACTTGATTTAGTGGTGAAACCATTGGTGAAACTTACAATAATGAAAATGAAACATGATAACATACTCCGACGAGTATAACTGGATAATGTATTTCATAGCATATATATAACTGGAATAGGGGCACAATAACGTATCTTCTCGTCATCCTCTTTTCAAAATGCATGTATAATTCCTATCTTGTGTCGGTTTCCTGATCTCTTTCTTTCTGATTCCTTTCTGATTCCATCATTCTGTTTTCTTCTTTGTCTTTCTTTCCTGTTCGTCCTACGTTGACGCTTCAAACACTATTTTCTTGAGTTGCTTATGTTACGTTGCATGCGACAGTGTGGACAAAACTCCTCAATTGTTCTTTTGCTATTATGTTATTTTGCCATTTACAGGTTCGATTTTGTTCTCAAAATTCTCATTTCCATTGCTCTTATCCGTGATTCATGTCTCTGTTAGTGTTCATGTATCCCCCTATTTTTGTCATGAAATCATCTAATTCAATTCAAGTTTAGTTGAAATCTGGAGATTATCGAAATACCGATTGTCAGCTCATCCACTGCAAATTTGTATTCAGTAAGACGAGTTCACAATGAAAATTTAACGATTTCAATCTATTTCAATATTCAGAATTACTCCGCTCATATAATTGATATCGCTCTATGTGAATACAAGAAGGGGGGTCTAGCAAATTGAAACACTGTATTTGCTGCCTTGTTGATATATTTTTTACTAATTCAGAACTGGTAGTGAAAACACCAAGTTTGAACCTCACAACTCCATGTTAATATTTTGATTTGATAGGTAAAGAAAAGAAAACAGAACTCGAGGTGTTGATAAAATGTAACTGGACCCTTAGTACACCTCATATTATTTACAAGGAACCACAAAATCAAGGTAAAAGATTTTCATTTCTAATGGAAGCCAAAGAGGGTTGTGTCAAAGTCCCTCCACAGTGTGTGGTGAGTAGTTACTAGTATGAATTATTTGTTAGTTACTGTTTTGATAGTCAGTTCAAAAATATAAATATTGTTTTAGATTAATGATAAATTTTATACATATAATGTAACGAATCTTCACAAGAATAATGGATATTGGATAGTAGAAGACGTCCCAGGAAATAAAATGATGATACTGAATGTTTGTGGTCTTCTAAAAGCGAAATTTAATCCTGAGGATAATAATTGTAATAGTATGTATATTATAATTTTGCTCGTCAGTATTTGTTGGCTACATATTCACGCTGAAAAAAACGACCATGTATTCATATCACATTTTTTATATAGCATTTTCCATTCGTCGCACGGGTTCGAACTATTCCTAAAATGAGTACTTTCTGCCTATTCCATTGGAAATGTCATGAACGAGCCGATGTTGAGAAACGATTCACACTGACTTGCAAATGAATTCGAATCATTTTCAGAACTGTGCCTGGGCGACGATGCAATTCTCATAACCTCGAATTATCGGGTGGATTATGAATACAGGGTGTTCGTAATATGTGGGACGCACTTCGAGAAGTGATAGGGCGTCTCAAGAAAATAAAAAATTTCCCATAAGCAGAAGTCGTAGAAGGATTCGTTTGCGAGATGCAGGGTGTTGAAGTTGGGAAAATATTTATAGAATTTGCTTATGTCTACCCTGTATGGCTTATCGTGGTGGAAACATTTAGGCTGTTATGTGACTGGCATAGTGCTAGAATTACAGAATGATATCTATCATGGTTATAAAGTAATCTGAACAGATGTCTTTAATGGACTATCTGACATCCTCGGACATCTACAGTGTGTCCCACTTACCATGCTCACCAGGGGCATCTTTTTAACGGTGAGAGATACGAGGTCGGTTAAATGACACCAAATGTTGAGTTTGTCAAGGCCAACTATAATGTGAAGAAATATTTTGATAAAATCTATTCGTTTTTGCTTTGTACGCAAAAAACAGATTTTGATCATTTTCATGTCTCCTTTGTAACTTCTTTATTTATGAAAATATTCAAAGAGGAATTTCACATTCTCATGGCAGTTTTTCAAAGTGATTTCGAAAAAAATATGAAATTTATACCAACTCTTCTAGAATTTGAGATATCAACACCAACTTTAGTTTTTCAAATGTAGGTCATAGCTCACTATGACTTAGCTACAAATAACTTTTTTTTTTCTCTTACAGATGATATGTCGCAGTAATAGTTTTGTGTTGATAACAACGGAGTTATCGTCATTTATACAAAAACAAAAAAAATTTGGAAGCCGCCATCTTGAATTTATAAATTTTAACAAAAAAATCATGATATCCGACCTCAAATACCCCCACTTACCAATTTTGAATGGAATCGGACCAAATCTTGTCCGCCATCTTGGAGCAGCCATTTTTTTTAATTTCAACAAAAATTCCATAACTCCGATTAACTTGAAATTTGGCAGGTGTTCACAATTTCGGTGACAATACTCTATGGAGTGTAAAAAGTTATACTTGATAAGGAGCGCGGCAAAAAACGCGCGACGATAAATGCAATGTGGGTTGCCTGACCTCTAGTAGCTATTTTGAAAGGAATAACATTCTTTATATATGTAGCAATCAGGCAGCAGAACATATGCGACCAGTAACACGAGCTGAAGAAAGGACATGAGACATGATTGTCACAGGACTTTAGGTATCTTCATAATACATATATACGAGGTAGAAAAAAGTGAAAAAACTTGGTCACTCATAATTATTATTATTAGGCTTGTAAAGGGTTAAAGGTACCCTTGACTTTATTCGGGCACTTGAAGCGGGTTCTACAATTATTTACAAGAAATGTTAACTCGGGCGCCACCTATATTATAGTGGTAGGTCCACTTGCACCGGGCAGCTTTCAGTGAAGAAACGGTAATCCAGGGGTCTGATATCTATCTCTCAAAATGATAAGTTGATCTCAATAATTGGTTTGATTTTTCCCGGATTACCAACTGCTTTGTTATAAAACAAAAATGAAACTCAATATCAACTAACTTGATTTATTCCTTAACTCTACTATACAATCATCTAGTGAATCTACTATCCTGAATATAATTAAGGTTCCTATGGCTCTTCCCCAGTATATGTACAAATTTACCCCAAGAAACCAGAAATCATTACCTTCTGTTGACGCGGAATGCAAAATGCATTTATCACTGAAAAATCTACTCATTAAATACAATCAAGCAATAAGCACGCAATCTAATTATCGACACAGGCAGGGTTAGAAAAGCATCTCTAGTACAAAGCCTCTAGCTCTCCAGCTCAAATCAAACTTTTATTTTCAAGCACAAGCAGTTAATAGTAAAATAAAAGTGCAGTTGCAGTGCTTCGGTTGACTCCGACAGGGAATCTCCTTTTCTTCGATGCACTTGGCAACACCGTCCTATCACGAGCGTGACCCAGTAATAGAGCCGTGCTGTACAATTGGATCGAAGATTTCCAGAACTCCCGTACTCTGATTCATCCGGCAACACCGTCCTACTACGAGCGTAGCCCAGTAATAGAGCCGTGCTGTACAGTTGAATAAAAGATTCCAAGATCTCCGGTTTTCCAATTCATCCGGCAACACCGTCCTATTACGAGCGTAGCCCAGTAATAAAGCCGTGCTGTGCAGTTGGACCAAAGTCTCTAAGGTCTACCACACTTTAATGCATCCGGCAACACCGTCCTATTACGAGCGTAGCCCAGTAATAAAGCCGTGCTGTTCAGCTGAATAAAAGTTTCCAAGATCTCCGGTTTTCCAATGCATCCGGCAACACCGTCCTATTACGAGCGTAGCCCAGAAATAGAACCGTGCTGATAAACTGAATCGGATATCCGGAATCTTCGTAATTTCAATTCATCCGGCAACACCGTCTTATCACGAGCGTAGCCCAGTAATAAAGCCGTGCTGTTCAACTAAATTGAAACTCACGAGATCTAAGCAAACTCAAGAACGGCGGTATCCGTACTTGCAACCTACAAAAGCAGCACTGTTATCGTTTGCATATCAAGCGGACTCACCTAAGTAAGTATATTTTATTCTTCAATCACTTGCGGTATCAAGCGGATCGGTCTAGCGGTTTCTATTTTATTCCTCAGCGTGTACAGCGGTATATGCGGTCAGCAACAACTAACTTTTCTTGGTTCCTATCGACGGAGCTCGCCTCGGGTTCCCACTCTCACCCGAGAGTGGGGCGAAAATTGCGCTATCGCGCAGCCGACCGCCGTCCGTGAGTCTCGGCTATGCTTCGGATATCTCTATTTCCCTATCATTTAATTACTGATTAATCCAACCTATCAAAATTCTAATTCGCGCTCACGAACAAATTACAGTATTACTCCCGGAGAAATAAATGATTCAGTTACGAAAAAGAACGGCGCCGATAGCTTGTCATTTACTCAAGTTAATATCATCAGAGTTATTCTCTATACTAAGTATACAGGATGTCTCCCCTGAGAGTAATCAAATCTGAGTAACTTCGTTACAGGCTATACAAGATATCCATCTTTAATACTTTATATACAGACTACAGCGTTTCAGCACAGAGTTGAATTTGGTTATCCGGATTTTTTCGAAAACAGGAATCGCCCCTTGAATTTTTTCGGTGTTATTTATATACATCCTGTATATAAGAGTAAAAATTTAATTTGTTGTCAGGAATAACCCCTAAGTCTTTGATTGAGTTAACGTTATTTATTGATTGTCCATTCAGTTTGAGATCAAAATGAGGTGGCACTTTGGTTCTGGTAAATAGGGTTTTGTGACACTTATTAAGATTCAGTTTCAACTTGTTTAGTTCACAATATTTGAAGAAACTTTCAAGGTCAGTTTGGAGCATATTATGAAGATATTTGCGTTCGAAGTTTTCATAATGCTCAATGACTGTGACAGAGAAAGTTTCGATATTGCGCCGTCACTCGCCGTCACTCCCATTGAGGATATGGAAACTTCGAACGCGAATATCTACGTAATCTTTTGAAATAAACCAATCAATCCCATTTAAAAATCGAAAGTTGATGTCATTTCCAGGAAAACCGGAAGATGAAAAAATGTGAGGAAATGCCCTCTAGTGAGCATATTCGATGTTCTAAATTTCAGAAATATGGCTAGAAAACAAAAGAGAGAAGGAGGGTATACCATGTATCATGAGTCTGTGTCACCCGGTATACAGGGTGTCCCATAAGTCATGGATGAAAACCAGTGGGGTGGTAGAGGGGGTCATTTGCAATTACACTACCCTTTCGTGCGCTCCAAGCGATAAAAAAAACAAAAAACAAAACGGCAGTTCTGAATAAACCGGTATGTTATACCATTTCGGAATCTGTATTAAATGGGCAACTTTTTCTAATATTTAGTTGGCTATCTTTGCGGGGTAGTTTTTAAATCTGCCAGTGTTATTAAAAAATCAACTGAATTAAATATTTCATTCGACAAAACACAGGTTATAAAAATTACTTATGAGGAATGGTACCTCCATGCGGATGGAATTTGTAATAGAAAAAATCACAAATGTGACATAGTTTTATTGTAATTATGTTTTTTATAGAAAAAAATAACCTGAACCATTAACAATAATTGGATAACCACATATACGGTTAGTTTATGGGATACCATGTATACGTAAATACCTGAAAGTTCTTCACAGGGAATATTGGTTGCATCAGAGATGTTTCGAACAGATTTGGTATAGAAAGAACACATCCCAAAGTGATTAATTGCACTGCTCTGTGCTGCAACCGTGCTTAACCCTGCGGCAGTGTGGTGGACAATCATAACATCAGAAGTGTGGTTGGGTATGACATACCCCAAATTTAACATTTTTAATATTTTTTAATTTTCAAAATTATGACATGTCATAATTATTATAGTCTGCAATCATATCAATATCACCCATCAGAAACAATTAATCACAATTTCATTAGGTTGGTGAGAAAACGAGTTGAATGAATTGACAAGTCATTTTCGATAGTAATTTTGTACGATATCCAATTTATAATATCATAAAAAGTACGTTTCAAAGTTTACAATGAACTGAAGTAATTTCTCTATAGTCAATTGAATGATCAAGATTATATAAGTAAGAAAAAACGAAAAAAAAATCAAAACAAAAAACTACCGACACTCAGCCAATTTCCGGAATATAAAAAAAATCAAATTTTTTTTCATTTGATTTATTTCGCTTAGTTCATTTTGTTCATCATTCTTTAGTTTGTCGCACATATCATTTTTCTCTGGATGTTCAATGTTCCTTCATTTCTGCTTTTCATCTGATTCAGAGTCGATCCTTTGTCTGATTTGACAATATCGTGCATTCTCTATTATCTACGTTTGTGTTACTCATAAATGACTTAATACTTGATTTCTGTCATTGATATTCAATTTGTCGGTCTGCCAAACTAAAAATCCTTGGAAATCCTGAATATGAAGAAAAAAATCGTATTCTTATCAGTATTTTGTTCTGCGAAAAACACTTCCAGTTTTGGTGTGGTGGGGTATGTGATACCCCAAGTGAATTGGATTAACGATATTTCAGAAATCACATGGAAACCACCTTTGCCGCTTCTTGTATGGAGTGACAAATTGCTATACTAAAGCTACCAGGCATGTAACCTGTCTGACTTTTTCAAAATTCATTTTATTGTACAATTTATGTCGAGTGCCCGCGGGTTAATAAAAAGACCACCGTTCCTGTGTTACTTGTACTTTCTTGGTGCTAGGGCACCCTGTAAACTGGTTAATGGAAAACTCTATTAGACAGTAGACTTTCCAAGCTATCGTCAATTTTGCAAAAATTATAAAGAAAGCTGTGAACTGAAACAAATATCAATTTAAATGATTTCAAAGTGATATTTTGAATGATTAGTAGGTTGAGGGTGCTTGGTCGTTATTTTTTTACTAGCGTGAATAGTGGCAGTGATACCGATTCGAACAACCAATTTACTATCATTACCATTACTTTTATTACTACCACTCATTTGATACTCTTATTTTTAGAATCATCTTCTCAAATTTGTGAGATACATAATGATACTTATACAAATAGAGGTAGTTTCCATCAAGATTTGGCAATCAATAATGAAAGATTATCGATATCATTAACGGGTGAGTGAATTTTATCTTCCATAGATTCAAATAACCTGTGGTATATTTCAGATGGTGATGTTTGTGACGGTGATCCTAGCAAACAACTTCGAACAGAAATAAATTTTATATGTTCAAAATCAGAGGGAAAACCTAAATTTATTAAAGAAGAACATTGTGTCACATACCTGAATTGGAAAACTTCCTCTGCTTGTCCAAATATTGTAAGTAGAACGCTTTTCGATACATTTTTCTGACGTCGATTCAATTTCAAAACTCGAATGTCTTGTGCTGACGGCTCAAGGGGAGATAAATGCATGCCAACAGAACTATCGTCCAATCGCTTTAGTATTTTATTTCGTAAATACAAAAATAAATATCTAAATAACAACTTAATTTAGATAATATGGCTTTCTATAACGCATATCAACCGGCGATCTTTTAGCATTATGTAATACACGTTTGGAATTCAACAATTCGAGAAACACGGAGAGTCGGGGGACCTAGGGCTATTGCTCTAGGTATATCCGAAGCATAATCTTCCTATGATTTACCTCCCTTACTATGCCGTTGGATAACCAGTTCCTCTAGAATAGATGTCTTCATGTAGTGATTGACGGGATTGCCTTACAAACACTGAGTACTAATACTGGAGTATTACAGGACTCCATGCTATCCCCAACACTTTTCTTACTTCATATCAACGACATGACTATCCACTCTCCCTTTAATTTTACTAACGATACCACCCTATTAGTGTCATACTTCATTGATATATCAATATCCGTTGCAACCAACCAAGGCATACGTTTGTACAGATCCAATCCGAAATGATTTGAAAAAGATCAAATAATGGGGAATTATGAATCTCGTACAATTCAATGCTCTGAAAACAAAAGCAACAATGTTTTCGAAGAAGGCTGATAGTCCGATCAACAGATCTCGAAAACAAATAAATCGTTTTAATCATAAAGTTCTGGTTGTTTTTTGCAAATATCCTGATATATTCATGTACAAAATCAATCTAAATACATGAAATTCATGTTTTCATACGACATTCAGTTTTTGCGGAACAGAAATAGAATGTATGACAGTTTTGCTTAGGCTTGAGTCTGAGGGTGTCATGTATCTATGAATAAATGATTTATCATCTCTCCATTTCTTCATTCTTTATATGACTTCGATTAAAATAATATTCAAAGAAATTTTACTGGCTGCTGCAAGAAAAAGCACCGTAGCTTGAGAAATTGCGAACGAGAACATGAAAAATGCAAGATATATCTAGACACGAAAAGAGAAGAGGATTACGATAATCTAGAAAACAATAATTATAATGATATTGATAATAATAATTAGTACTTCATTGTAAAACAATGTTCAAATGAATATTTATCGACCGAGGTTCTTTTGCCAGATAATATAGAAAGAAAACCAAAAAGAATTGAAGATAAAATTGAATGTTTATAAACAACAATCATGGGTGATTGGATTAAGAATCACTGAATTACATTCGAAGACTGGTAAGAGTATAATATGATGAATATAAAAGAAAAAGATGGAGATGTACATAGGAGAAGATGAAATAATGGAAAGGCGGAGACAATAATTTGAAGAACATTAACGACAATAAACCCTATGGAAGATATACAGGAAATAGATTTGATAAAAGGAAGATGAAAAACAGGAGAAACAGTGAGGGCCTATTTATGCATCATTGTCTTAGTAATTGTCTTAATCATAGTCTTACTAAGATGAATTGAATTTCACCTCATCATAGTTGGACCTTTAGGCTTAAGAATTATGATATGACAATTGACAATCCGTCAAGAGATCCGTCAGTAGATAGGGTACAAAAACAAATTCTATATACCAGAGATAAAATGTAATCTATTTACCAGTCAATGCCATGATTTGTGATATTGATTTCCAGGAATTCTCTATTGCAATTTTATCTATGTATTTGGAGTCTTCCTTGTCCCAGAGATGGGGAAATTTCTCTGCCAAATCTATTAGGGTTCCTTCTTCCAGGCTCATGATTTTTTTATATTTGTTATCAAATGTAATCAAATTATCAGAATGATCAATTATTGACACAGCACAGAATGGCACTGATTTTTGGGAGACAAACACAATATTAAAAGTAATTTGTGATTGTCAAATATGTTGACAGGTCTACACATGCGCATTTCTTATGTGGTCTCAATAATAAGCATAAAAATTGAAAGTTTGTAACTTTCAGGGTCATGATTTAATGATTGTGATTAAGACTAAGACAAATTGAAATGTATGCTCATAACTTGATTTTATGATTAAAACAAAGACTGTGACTGTTCCAATGAAATTGAAACCTGGAAGCAACAATCGAAAATAATGGAAAAAATGCTCAACATGAAGAAATTGACTTTTCTTGGATGGAATGAAATACTAAAATACAACAAACAATAGGGTGATCATAATTCTGAATCTTGAACCACCCTGTATTTGTTCCAATTAAATGTTAGTAGGAAGCAAATCAAAAGTTGAGATAGGGTCATGTGGGCGGTTTTGACTAATAATGAATAGTTTCGACACAAAAAAATCTTGAAATTGAAAAATCTCGATTCCAAACACTATATATCTCTGTAATCATTCCGGCTAGACCCCATAGACATATAAAAAGAGGAGAGAGAGAGAGAGAAATTGTTTACAGTTTGTCCCGATCCATCCTCGTTTTCAGTAGAAAACGATGATGACAAATGTCTGCGGATTGCCTAGATCTACCGCCTGTGTTTGAGAACGAGGGAAGCATTTATCATACATTAATTATATAATATACCTTATTCATGTATATTCATTCTGTATGTTTGTTCCTTAATTGAAATATGTGAATTCTATTAAAATAATTGAAATTTTCTTAATTTAATAATTACATTAAAGTATAATGTATTATGGAAATAAATGTGGCAACGATGTATTCACGTGTTTACTATGGGTTACGCATAATCTTTTCAAAGTCATTCACATAGGTCAAAATCCGATGTTACAGTGTTGATGTGCTGTGTTTGTGACCATTTTAGGACATTTTGTGTTTCAATTGATTTTTAGTGTTTTCTTGTTATAAAAAGATATGAAGACAATCATTAAAAGTCTATTATGGTTCGCCAGTGCGTCAATTGTGAAAATATTCACCATTCAAACTCCAAGTATATGTTTCTTCTATCTTGAGCAGTGGGGTATTTATATCGCAGGTTAGTTAACTAAATTATTGCAAGAAACCTTGTTTTTTTTTCTTCAAATTCCACTGAATTATGGATCAAAATTAGGTAAGGTCCTACGAATATTTGGTATTAAAATCAGAAGATTAGACCCAAAAATTTTCTTACAGGTAATAGCGTTGGATAGGTCATTGTGGTACAATGGGCGTGTACACCTTAGTAGAACTTTTAACTCAAACCATGTTTATAATGATCCTTTTGTACATAAATAATGATTGACGACATAATTCGATCGAAAAATCAACTGGAATGTTCTATTTTTGGACATATAGTACCTTCTGAAAACGGACCCTCTTATGACGTAGAAACCTCATCTCGCCATAGTTAAAAGAAAATACCAAACGCCCGACGGAGACTGAGGCAACTGATATATTAATTCTTTCAACTGTGATTTCGAGCTAATTCACTCTGTCAGAAATCATGTATCATTTATCTCTGTCTGGAATAGTCTTGTTTCAGTATTAGGGTTTTGACGTCACATCATCGCCTCGTTTTCAGAGGTCTGAAAAATCGGGGATTTCAATAATTTTTTGTAAAACGTAGGGAGCTCACAGCAAGAAACGGTTTGCGGTGGTGAGCTAGTTTGGTCGAGTTCTATCGAATTATGAAATTTTTGTGATATAAGCCCATTGTCTTGCCCCTCGCTCAACCTACGCGACTGATGAGGAAAAGTGTGAACATTGACGCACAGTTTACAGCGTTGTCATTTGTTAAATGATTGTAAACAAATAGTGTTTAATGAATGAAATGTTGATATATTGATGGAGTCATCTCTCCAGGGAGAATCGAAAAATGCAAATAAATTTCCATTTGAAATAACAAAGTTGCTACTACTTTCTAATAGAAGTGGCAAGACCGCATTGTCGAACATATTTTAGACGGATAGCATGCTTGATTAACCAATACCCCAAATTTTCGAAATGATGTCATCCGGTTCTCTAAATACTTCTAATATACCATCCACCGTGAAACACCTTGTATATTGTTTTTGGATGTATGACAAATTGATATTCATCATACAGGACGTGGAAATAAATTCTGAATTGAGATAACCTAATCACGAATCTGCGATTGGAGGTCTATAAAAATAACAAGTTACCACCGTTCAAGTTTGAACCCCTTGATTGGGTGAAAGTATTGAAAAGGAATATTCTCAGATAAAATTATGAACATAAAAAATGGATATATATACAGGGTGTTTCATTGGGAAAGGTAAATAATTCAACTGTGGATAGGGGTCACTGGGGTGATTTCAAAAAACCCATGGTTGATGGGTCTTCGACTTCTTATAACCGAGATACAGGATGTTTCATCAATTTTGTCCATATCTTCATTGTCTCATAACTTTCCAACCAACCTGTATATATTTTTAAAAATTGGTACACTTGCTCAATCTATCCTGTGGAATTGATTGAGGCAACAACAAAAGATAAAATCCAGGTCCGGCTTCACTTAAAATTCACAAATTCTTTCTGCCAGAAAACAACACCCTATACATTCGAATTTCTAATTTTTTTGCCATATCTGAAAAGACCATCAAAATCTCTATTCAACGATGTGCTTTTTATTCGTGCACAGACGATTTTAACTGTTCATATTGTGTGCTCAAAATATTATTTTTGCTCATTTTGGGGTACAAAATTGGAATCAGACGAGATTTATTAATTTTATTACTTCCTATTCAGTATACGTGAGTATTACATTTAGAAGGAGTATTTCATATCGTTCTTTGTTCCAGACTTAGTTGCAGGTCCGTCATCAAAACTATACAGGGATTTTCACGATAAGCGTTAATTAGATGTTTCTGGCAAACCAGGCAACGGATAAATCTAAAAATTTGAAGCTATGTATAAATAAACATGATCTACACGTCTGAAATATTTGAAACAATCCGGCGTTGCCGCTTCTACTCGAAAGTAGCAGTAACTTTGATTTTTCAAATGGGACACCCTGCATGCTTCCTGAAGAGCTGATTTAATCGATTCACAAAGTTCGGGGTCTAGTATGACTAATAACTGAGATATTTAGAGTGAGAAAAATCGAGATGTTTCAACTTTAGAATTATTTTGCGGCTTTTATGTCCCTATCTTAACTTTGTATCTATTGACATTTAATCGAAACAAATACAGGATGGTTCATAATTCAGATTTCTGCATCACCCTGTATCTGTTTCAATTGAATATCGAATGGAAAGTTGAGATAGGGACATTGAAGCCGTTTTGACCATGCAATAATAAATAGTTTCAACACAAAACATTTCTAAAGTTGAAACATCTCGATTTTCTACATCCTATATCTCAGTTATCAGTCCCGCTAGACCTTGAATGTTTTGAATCGATGAATTCTGCTGTTCAGCAAGAATCCAAGAATGTAATGAAATACAGGGTGTCCCATTTGAAAAATCGAAGTTGCTGCTACTTTCTAGTAGAAGCCGCAAGGCCGGTTCGTTTCAAATATTTCAGTAGTTTAAATTATGTTGATTTATACATACCTACGAATTTTTAGATTTATCCGTTTCCTGGTTTGCCAGAAACATCTAATTAACGCTTATCGTGAAAAGCCCTGTATAGTTGTGATGACGGACCTGCAACTAAGTCTGGAACAAAGAACGATATGAAATACTCCTTCTAAATGTAATACTCACGTATACTGAATAAGAAGTAATAAAATTAATAAATCCCGTCTGATTCCAATTTTGTACCCCAAAATGAGCAAAAATAATATTTTGAGCACATAATATGAATAGTTAAACTCGTCTGTGCACGAATAAAAAGCACATCGTTGAATGGAAATTTTGATGTTCTTTTCAGATATGGCAAAAAAATGAGAAATTCGAATGTATAGGGTGTTGTTTTCTGGCAGAAAGAATTTGTGAATTTTAAGTGAAACCGGACCTGGATTTTATCTTTTGTTGTTGCCTCAATCAATTCCACAGGATAGATTGAGCAAGTGTACCAATTTTTAAAATTATATACAGGTTGGTTGGAAAGTTATGAGACAATGAAGATATGAACAAAATTGATGAAACATCCTGTATCTCGGTTATAAAAAGTCGAAGACCCATCAACCATGGGTTTTTTGAAATCACCCCAGTGACCCCTATCCACAGTTGAATTATTTACCTTTCCCAATGAAACACCCTGTATAAAGAAATACATTGAGAATTCGCATTCTCTATGTGATGAAAATATCAATTCTTTCTCGGTTTATTCAACAGAAAACAACTACTTTCCTGGCTATATGCCACGACGAAGATTGAAATATCTATTGAACAAACACGATAAGAATTTGAAAACAAAATCTTCTGAAGTTGAGAATTTGCATTTTCCTTCATATAAAAATATATACATGAACATAACATAACATAAATATAACTTACCAATATGTTCACTATTGAAATGAAAATTGAAATGTATAGGAGAAATATACTTGTATCAACTCTGATCTTAATGAGCTTGGAACTTCCAAAAAAATCATTCATGCTCTCCTTTTGGATGTTCAACAGATATGATTTAATGTGCGACGTGGCAAATAGCCAGGAAAGTAGTTGTTTTCTGTTGAATATTCAGAAAGATATTAAGTGCATATACATATTTTTATATGAAGGAAAGTGCAAATTCTCAACTTCATAAGATTTTGTTTTCAAATTCTTATAATGTGTGTTCAATAGATATAATTCAATGTTCGTCGTGGCATATGGCCAGGAAAGTAGTTGTTTTCTGTTGAATAAACCGAGGAAGAATTGATATTTTCATCCATAAGAAAATGCGAATTGTCAATGTATTTCTTTATATAGGTATATATCCATTCTTTATGTTCATAATTATATATGAGAATATTCCTTTTCAATACCTTGTATATTTTTCTCAGATTGAAGCAAAATGTGAAAACAAACACATTGACACACATCATAGTTGTACCTTGGAAACTTCCGGAAAGCTTTATAATTTGGGCGGCCTGTACAAGAAAGATGGTAAATACACTGTAAAGGACAAACATGATGGAAACTTGGAATATTTATTAAACGTATGTGGATCTGTTATTGATGAAGAAGCCCCTTGTATGCAGGATGCCATGGTTGCTCTTAAAAATTCATCAGAGGCCAACCTTCGACACAAGTATGTATTGTCAGTTGTTCGATGAATTCATGTTCAACATACAGGGCGTGAAAAAAAATCTGTATTGAGAAAACCCAATCACGAATTTGTGATTAAAGGTCTGTAGAAGCAAATTTCAGAATAAATACACTCAGTTACAAAAAAAGTGACGCACTTGATATTTGACCTACTTATCTTCTTTAAAAAAAATAGTAGGCCGATTTTCATTTTTTTTTTCATTTGTTGGTAGGTAATGCATTTGTCTTCGAAAAAAAAAATAAAGAGGTGAACATTTTTTCAAAGCCCCCTTGATGGTGGAATAACTGGAACCATGATTTATTCTTAATTTTTGACTCACCCTGTGTGTTAATTGAGTAATGGCATAGAAAGGCTTTGAAAAAATTTTCACCTCTTTATTTTTTTCAAAGACAAATGCATTACCTATCAACAAATAAAAAAAATGAAAATCGGCCTACTATTTTTTTTTTAAGAAGATAGGTCAAATATCAAGTGCGTCACTTTTTTTGGAACTGAGTGTAGTTGAAAATGCTTATTTTCTGACATTGTGAGAGATCGTCGAAGTTGTCTAATATTTGTAATGTTTCAATGTAGAAATCAGCAATAAGTAGTAGATATTAAGTGCAAAGTAGAGATGAAGATTTTTTATTAATTTTCAGAGTGATGTCATATGGTGGTATGAGGAATATATCCGAAAATGCCGAGGGGCTATTGGTTATTGAAACTTATGGAGGTGGAAATTGCGGAAAGAATGGAGCTATTATATACTGCAGAAGCACTGTATATTTCAAATGCATCGGATATGATGTATGTATATTCCTAAGGAAATTATTTTTATTATTAACTAGTAGAGGCAACTTATGGTGAAAATTTCACACCTAACATGTTTCACCAATTAAAAGCCTGTATTTTCTATCGTTACCATAGCAACTAAACAAATGTCTGGAATTTTTTTCTCCTAGGGGGAAGGAGCATCCAATTACATTGGGAATTTTTTGACTTTTGTAAGTAACACAAAAAGAGACAAACTCAAAGTCATTACCACACTAGTTCATAAAATGAACGAAAATGGTAGAAAACGAAAGAAAAAACAACTACTTTCCTGGCTATATGCCAGGCAGAACATTGGATTACATCCTCCCGAAATCTATGCAATAGTTCGTATAGACCAGTGGTTCCCAACCTTTTTCCAGTCATGACCCCTTTTGGATTTGCTTAAAAGGTCGCAACCCCCCATTGAAAATATCGACATGTCCTTATTTAATATAAAAAAAACAATTTGATAACATTCATATTATTTATTTGTTATAATGTTAATGCGATGACTGAGCTTGCATCTGCATAACAAGTTTCAAAATTCTTGGTTGAGTGCGTGTTAAAGCCAGTCTTATGTCAGTTTATTTCTCGCCTTTGTTTTAATTCGCAAAAGAGTTGAAAAACCACTTTCACAGAGATAGGTCGAAGCAAATGGTACTATAGTACCCGCAAAGAAAGCAGAGCGACATTAGGATATAAACAATATATGGCACACCAGAATTCAGTCAACGTTTTTTCCTGGAATAGGACACGTGCTGTGTAATCATTTTTAAGATCTAAAAATTCATCTTGCAATTCATCAAGAACGTCGGCAATATCTAACGACAGCTCGGGAAAATAACGTTGCATTTCATTTTCAAGGGATTCAAGGTGATAATCAATTTCCGCAATTCCTGCCTCTGATACTTCAACCATGGTGCTCAGGTTTTCAAACATTGCAAAGTTTTCAAGATTTACTTTACGTCGCCAGTTTCCAATCTTGGACGCAAATGCTTCGAGATTATCTTTAAAATAGATGAGGTGCAAGTCGTTTCCCTGAAGTTTCAGATTCAACTTGTTCAACTGACCGAAGATGTCCGATAAATAAGCATAAGCCAAATGTAGAAACATTTACCTATACATATTGTAATGTTGTTGAAACTTGCAGGTCGAAATTTTTGGACCCAATGGCGACCCCCCCATATGTACATCGGGACCCCCAAGGGGGTCGCGACCCACCGGTTGGGAATCACTGGTATAGACGAATAAAATCGCAAGTGTTTCCTTCGTAAACGCTTAAGTGGTTCAGGAACGCTGACTACCTGCAGACCGGTTTCGAGCTGTTGGCTGTCATCAGTACAGGGCTGTCCCAAATAGCTTCTTGACCGCCGTTTAGGAAGGAAACACTTGCGATTTTATTCGTCTATACGAACTATTGCATAGATTTCGGGAGGATGTAATCCAATGTTCTGCGTGGCATATAGCCAGAAAAGTAGTTGTTTTTCTCTCATTTTCTACCATTTTCGTTCATTTTATGAACTAGTGTGGTAATGACTTTGAGTTTCTCTCTCTTTGTGATCATTGCATTCCACTTTGAGTATTTGGGTTTTCCCTAGTTTAATAAGTAAAATTGACATTCAACTTCAGGTTATGTCGAATTCATTCTATGAGTTGATAAGTTCCTTATAAGAAAATATATTTTCACTAACTAAGTAGCTAAATGAATATGTAAAAAACTGAGAGATAGAGCTACTATCAACTTATTTTGTATTATTTCATTTAACTAAAGTTATTTAATCATTTAATTTAACCTGGTAATATTACATGAGCAAATTTCATTGATACTAAATAGTACTTCTAGTTTCTTGTGAGAAAATATACCAACTTTAGTAAAATTGATTTGTGGGAAACTGAGAAATTGAGCTACTATTGACTTATTTTTTATCATTTGGTGTAACTAAAGTAAGTTAATTGTGTTTTATTTAACCTAACGATATGTTATGGATATGAATTATATTTACTTTGTAGTGTGGAGGGAGTTATCATAAAACCGATATACATGTTATGGGTTTGATTTTAGAGAAATTGGAATTTCTTCATTCGTTTCAGAGATAGAGGGAGAGATTGAAAAATTGCCGACTTCGTTTTTATTATCTGAGTACTTTATGGTGAGGAATATTGAGATAGATAACAATGATACACTCGAGGGCCATGTGAGGCCATCTCCAGTGATAACACTGCTCACTAGCTAGAATCACCGACATTCCTGGAAAATACTATCAAGAGACAGAATATAGTGTTAGATCTTCTCGAAATGTATTTCAATAACTATTTCTTATGCCCAAATTTCTCAAATTGATATCACACTGTTTGTAATGTCGATATCGTTGATGAACTTTGAATGACATGTTCATATTCAAGCGTACACCTTGACCGACTCGCACTTACTGTCGGTATCGAGTTAGAAGTCATGCCATCAGTGTCTTAGTCATATAAATTCCTATAAGCTACATCAGTCCCTTTTTGTAAATTCAAAGTATGTATGATAATCTTAATTCCATATAAACTTGTGTTACTATGAATATAATGTGATGAATCAAAAACTCACCTATAGATAGATAGAACTACAATACTTATAATATGAACATAATGCAATGACCTTAACTTAATCTCAGTTGAATACAATAATTTATATCAATACTCAAAAGTATAATATATGTATAGTATAATGATATATACAATCGGCCAAAAGGCAAAACTACAAACTACCGATATACCCAAAATAATCTAAAAAAAATCCTCATGAGAATTTATGGAAATATAATCGAATTATGAATATACCTACATGAATGCTTAACAAATTTGTAGATGCCGATAGGCACCTACCTATATACTTCAAGTACCCATTTAGTAGATATTTATTGGTGTTATTACTTTTTCGAATGATCATTGTTTACTTCGTTATTGACCCATCTTCATTCCTCTTCAACTTTTTTCGAATGGATAATGTTCCTTCGAGTTTCTTCCCCTGTTTGTTCATTCATGATTTGTACGTCTCCTTTCTTATGCAACACCGTACAGGGTTAAATGGTGAAGTTAGTTTATTTTCTTTTATCAAACTTCTTACGTACACTTTACTCCCTTCGTCTAATACGGTTTGTTTTTCCCTTCTTTTCTTGTCTGTATATTCTTTGCCTTTTTCTTTTTGCAATCGATCTCTTTCCCTAACATCTTCGTACACCAGCGTCCGTTCGGTGTCTTGGATGTAAGGAATTTGATCTCTGAATATTCGTTTGAAAAATAATTCTGACGGTGATTTTCCAGTAACTGTATGTGGGGTACTATTGTACAGTCGTATTCAATAAAAAAGCGTATTAAGTATTGAAAAGAGTGGATTTCGGGATCCTAGTTCTAGTTGTGTAAAACTGGCTTAGCCAATGTTTTTGTGTTTTCGAGAACCTATGACAACTTTACTGTCAACATTTGGTGAACAATCATTACCGATAGCCCGTTTTATGCAGAATAGGATGACATTAATTTCTCTCTGTACTATACTTGTACGCTTTTTTTTTTGAATGCGACTGTACATTGTTAAATAATCTGATAATTCAAATTCCCAATGTTTTTCAAGAAATTGACTTATTTTTAAACGCTTCAAAATATCTCGGTTCTGTCGCTCTACCACACCATTTTATTGTGACCCATATGGAATACTATGGTATAATATTATTCCCCTTTCTTTACAAAATTGTCTTATTTCTGTGCTGGTGAACTGTCTACCATTATCGGCTGTTATAGATAATGGGTTTCCTAAACGAGAAAACATTTCCCTCAATGTCCCTACTGTGAAGAAGGCTGAAATATCTCTTGTAATCTTCATCTCCTTATAACGACTAAAATAATCAATGATCACGAACAAATGATCTCCACTGGGTAACGGTCCCATGAAATCGATAGCAATATCTACCCAAGCTTCTATTGGAAGTTCTCTCCTCTTCAACGGATTTGGCAAATTTGGTGTCGAGATTAATGTACAGGGTGATTGACTATGGATTTCTCGACTTCAACAGCTAATATCTCGAAAACGAAAAAAGATATTTGAAATTTGGAAAAAGTTATTTGAATGAGATGTCATTTCCTTTTAGAAAATGTGTTCTCTGCTTGATTTTATCATTTCATATACAGGGTTCGTGAAAAAAAATTTTTTCTTCAAATAGAACCCCCTGTATATTATTGCATATTTCGAAAGAGCTATCTTTCCTGATTTCGGAGATATATACTTTCCATATATTCTATCGAGGGCTTGACGAAATATCAGCAAAATTAAATATTAATATTTGGTCCAAGTTAGCTATGGTTGAAATAGAATAAGATGATGAATAAGTGAATTGACATTTGGCCAACATTCCAGTGACATAAGTGCGCAAAATTTCGACAATTTTCTTACGATGCCATATCCACTGGAACAAAGAAGAGATATTTTGCAGTGCTATTTTTCAGTTAATAAAAATCTTGCTGAAACACTTACACTTATACTTACTTAAATTTAATCTTTCAGATATGACAAGACAAAATTCAATCCGCATCTCATTATCATCATAATTGAGTTTGTGGCATGGTCTAATTCTGAAATCCCTATATTTATATTTCCTTAAGGTATGTTGAACAAAATAATAGCTGAAACCAAACTCTCTCACTGCATTTCTTATTGACCGTGAAGGATCCTCAACAAAATACTGGATTACAAGAAGTTCCTCGTCTTCGTTGTCTTACCTTCTCACTATTCTCTTGATATTCGACAAACTGGAAGTTCTGTCAAATTTAGCAGCCAAATACTTTACATAATTCTTACTTGGTAATCTCCTGCCTGGATAACTCCTCATAAACTTATGAAGTGTTTCAGCAAGATTTTTATTAACTGAAAAATAGCACTCCAAAATATATCTTCTTTGTTCCAGTGGATATGGCATCGTGAGAAAATTGTCGAAATTTTGCGCACTTATGTCACTGAA